GAGCGCTCCAAAAACTGCTCGGAGGATGATCCCCGACGCGTCGAGCTCCACGACCGCCCAGCCGCATCGAGTGAGACCTGGGAGCGAGGAGGCTAACCCAGACCCGTCCGTGTACACCTTCCGCCCCCACACTCCGCGCCAATCCCCCCACCCAAGAACTGGTTGCGAGCTCGCAGGAGCAGCAGGAAACGGCGGCAAGGGCGGCAGCCCAAAGCTAAGATAGAACGTCTCGATTCCGTCGAGCGGGCTGCTGAGATTCGAAATCATGGCCTCCCCATGCTCCAGGACATCATCGGACGGCCGCTCATCTTCGGGGACATCTAGGACCACGGGGCATCCAAACCACTGGTGGGCCTCGGTCCCCGGGCACTGACGGCAGACAAAACATTCGGGGGTCGGGCGGAGCTGGATAGAATGTAGACGAACTGGTGTCCACACGCCGGCGGCCCAGAGGGCCCTCAGAGCTCCCCTCCTGCTCGCGTCGCGTATTTTGAGCACCGAGCGGCGCATGGCTCGCCTCCAGCACGACGCCTGCGAACCATTAGGGAGGTGCTCCAAGATGTGCGCCGACTGCCACCGACGAATTCCTTCCTCAACAAACCTGCGCACGTCCCACGGGCAAAACTGGAGGAGGTCGACCAACTCCCCTTGGTCCGAGCGGAGAACAGTGGGGGAGACCATGCCCCACCCCACCCTGAGCAAAGACAGCCAGACGGCAGAAATCGGCCCCCGGGCACCAGCCCACGAAGCGCGGTTATCAAAGCGCTCCCTGATCTTGCACCACGCGCGGTACAGGCGGCTGGGCGCAATCCTGCCATCCCAAAGGAAGGCGGCATACCGCACAACAGTGGGAACTGTACAATCAAAAACGGAGTCCAGGGGATTGTGGGGGTGCGTTTTCGGGCTCCCATCGTCGCTTTCCTCTTCGGTTGCTTCTCCCTGGCATATGTTTGTTATCCTTCTTGTTATCATTCCTCAGTCTGTATCCAATCGTTATTCTTGTCTTGACCCCTCCACCACCTTCATGCTTTTCTCCCCATCCGTGCGCCCGAAAACGTAAATGCGAAGATCGAGCCCAGGGCGACACGCAGAAGAGAAACCAGGACGATGGATGTGGAAGAGGGATAGAGGAGGAGGAGGAGGAGGAGGAGGAGGAGGAGGAGGAGGATGAGGAGGAGGAGGAGGAGGACGCGAGGATATGAGGCATGATTTCTATAGCAGTTTTGGCTTAAGCAATCAGTGCGCTCTCAGACAACGACAGCGATGCCGCTCATGTAATCCTCCTCGAAGGGTAAAGCGCCCTCGGCCCCGAACAAGGAAGGGGAAAAAAGGAAAAAAGGAACAATATGGAAAAGCCTGTGAAAACACAGCGAAACAAAAAGGACAACTTGAAACTATCTTGAAGAGAGAAAAAGAAAAATAGGAAAAATGAAGCGACACTAGGAATCCTTCTGTAATCTTCCACAAAAGAAATCTCTTTGTAACCCCCCACAAAAGGAATCCATGTGTAACCCTCCACACATGGAATTCTTTTGTAATCCCCACAAAAGGAATCCCTTTGTAATCCGCACAAAAGGAATCCCTTTGTAATCCTCCACAAAAGGAATCCCTTTGTGATCCCCCTCGAAGGGTAAAGCGCCCTCGGCCCCGAACAAGGAAGGGGAAAATAGGAAAACACATAAAAAATAGAAACAAACCTGTGAACACACAGCAAAAAAAAAGAAAACTTGAAATTATCTTGAGCAGAGAAAAGGAAAAATAGGAAAACATGGAGCGACAATAGAAATCCTTTTGCAATCCTCCGCAAAAGAAATCTCTTGGTACCCCCCCCACAAGAGAAATCCATTTGTAACCCTCCACACATGGAATCCCTTTGTAATCCTCACAAAAGGAATCCGTTTGTAAAGGATTACATAGGGTTTCCTTTTGTGGCGGATTACAAAAGGATTTCTATTGTCGCTCCAATGTTTCGTATTTTTCCTTTTCTCCCCTGAAGATAATTTCAATGTTTCCTTTTTTTTCGCTGTGTTTTCAAAGGTTTTTCAATGTTTTTCTTGTTTTTCCTCTTTTCCATTTCCTTGTTCGGAGGGGGCGAACGCCTCTCTCTGAGACGATTATTAAAAAGGATTCCTTCTGAGGCGGATTACCAAAGAATTCCCTTTGTGCGGATTACAAAGGGATTTCAAGTGTGGCGCACTCCAAAAGGATTCCTCTTGTGACATCCTACAACAGGATTCCATCTGTAATGGATTGCAAAATGATTCCTTCTATGGCCGAGTACAAAAGAATTTCTTTTAGTGGAGGCTTACAACAGGATTTCTTTTGTGGCGGATTATACAGGGATCCCCTTTGCGGCGGATGACAACAGAATTTCTCTTTGCGCGGATTAGAACAAGAGTTAATTCTTTTGCGGCGCATTGCAAAAGGATTCGTTGTGCGGTGGATCACAAAAAGGTTTCTGATACTTGGGTTTACAGAAGTAGCCAGTTGGAATCGGATTCAAAAGAATTCTTTTAGTTGCATGTTAGAATTTTAGAATATGAATCCTTTTTATGATACATTACCGAACAACCATTGTTGCCGACCGCAGCAATAGCCCATTGTCCTCGATTACAAAAGGCTTCATCTTGCGGCGAAGCACAAACACATCCCGTATCCCTGTACTCCTCACGTGGCAGCTCCACGACATAATGCGGATACATCCTCATACAAAATACATTTCTTTCTGTGATAACCGCATATACTCCGACCCCTTCTCACTCGTGCTGAAAGCGGTGAAGAACAAATTGCTACAGCAAAGATCAATGCGTGAGCAAACATAACAACATATGTGAGAAATTGCAACATGTCCGCTCACGCATACCCGCATGCCTGCCTTTTTTTTCGCCCCGCCAAACGTCTTCGCGCCCCCCCCGTCGGCGCGCCCCAGTCCCGCTGTGAACACACAGCGAAAAAAAAGGAAACATTGAACTTATCTTAAGGGGAGAAAAGGACAAATACGAAACATTGGAGCGACAATAGAAATCCTTTTGTAACCCGCCACAAAAGAAAACCCTATGTAATCCTTTACAAAGGGATTCCTTTTGTGAGGATTACAAAGGAATTCCATTTGTGGAGGGTTACACATGGATTTCTTTTGTGGGGGGTTACAAAGAGATTCTTCTGTGGAGGATTACAAAAGGATTCCTATTGTCGTTCCGTTTTTCCGTATTTTCCTTTTCTCTGCTCAAGATAATTGCATTTGTTATTTTTTTTCGCTGTGTTTTCACAGTTTTTTTCATTTTTTCTTTTTTTCCGATTTTCCCTTTCCTTGTTCGGGGCCGAGGGCGCTTTACCCTTCGAGGGGGATTACAAAGGGATTCCTTTTGTGGAGGATTACAAAGGGATTCCTTTTGTGCGGATTACAGAGGGATTCCTTTTGTGGAGATTACAAAGGAATTCCATGTGTGGAGGGTTACACATGTATTCCTTTTGTGGGGGGATACAAAGAGATTTCTTTTGTGGAGGATTACAGAAGGATTCCTATGGTCGCTCAATTTTTCATATTTTTCTTTTTCTCTCTTCAAGATAATTTCAAACTTTCCGTTTTCACCGGTTTTGCAAACTTTTCTCCCTTTGCCTTTTTTTTTTTTTTTTTTTTGTTTTTTTTTTTTTTTTTTTTTTTTTTTTTTTTTTTTTATTTTTTTTTTTTTTTTGTTTTTTTTTTTTTTTTTTTTTTTTTTTTTTTTTTTTTTTGTTTCTTTTTTTTTTTTTTTTTCTTTTTTTTTTTTTTTTTCTTTTTTTTTTTTTTTTTTTTTTTTTTTTTTTTTTTTTTGTTTTTTTTTTTTTTCCCCTTTTCTTGTTCGGGGCCGAGGGCGCTTACCCTTCGAGGGGATTACCAAAGGGATTCCTTTTGTGGCGGATAAAGGGAGTTTCCTTCTGTGCGGATACAAGGGATCCTTTGTGGGATTAAAAGAATTCCATGTGGATGAGTACAAATGATTCCTTTTGGTGAGGTTACACAGGACTTTCTTTGTGCGGATTACAAAGGGATTTTTTTGTTGGGAAAGTTACAAAGGGATTCCTTTTGTGCGGATTACAAAGGGATTCCTGTTCGTGGAAAGTTACACAGGATTCTTTTTGTGCGGATTACAAAAGTCGCACATCAGACACATCATACATCAGAACACGCCGTTATCACCTCACAAAACGCACCCAGAACACGCCGTTATACACCTCACAAAACGCACCCCCACAATCCCCCGTACTCCAAAAACGGGGTCGAACTTATATCATCTGGCTGAGTAGACAGATAAAGAGTTAGACATGTCTTCGGTTTAGCGCCTGCCATCCCTCCAGCAAACGTCCGAAGCTCCCGCAGACCAGAATCCGCGATCCCCGACACCCCGGCACCGTGGCCAGCTGCTGGGAGGAGCCCCGTGCGCCAGAGGTCTTGGGACTAGATCGCCCGCAGCGTTCGTAGACCCAGATCTTACGCCTTTTGCCTGGAGTGTGCGAAACCTGGCCTTCTTGAATCGAAAATATAAAAATAAACCCAAGCACACCTTGATAACCTACAAGCACGAGTTTTACATTATGCAAGGATGGCAATGAGGGGGATAACAAACACACACAACACAAAAATCGAAAAATAAAAACCCCACCAAAAAACCACCAAAATTTACGAGTGCCATGCATCTCGTGACCCAGGTTACGCATGGCCTTCTTGGAACGAAGTCCTAGCGTCTGCACGTGCTTCGCAAACCGAGCACGACCACGAGACGTGTTGGCTACAAAGCCACTCTTGGTGGTCTGGATGATCAAGCCGGGAGGTCCGACGTCATGGCTAAACGCGTGCACTGCAGAGGAGGAAGAGGAGGAGGAGGAGGAGGAGGAGGAGGAGGAGGGGGAGGAGGAGGAGGAGGAGGAGGAGGAGGAGGAGGAGGAGGAGGCGGAGGAGGAGGAGGAGGAGGAGGAGGAGGCTGCGCGAAGAGGCCCTCGCCGGCCCGCTCTGCCGGGAGGCCTTCTGCGAGCACGCCGGGGAGGAGCAGCTCCGGGAGCTGGCCGAGAAGTGCTGCGGCGGTGCCCCCTACCTGCTGTCGTCCAAGCCGGGTGCTGAGGCACGGCGGGGCCTCGTGTCTGGACGAGGAGAAGGAGGAGGAGGAGGAGGAGGAGGAGGACGAGGAGGACGAGGAGGACGAGGAGGAGGAGGAGGAGGAGGAGGAGGAGGAGGAGGAGGAAAAGGGTACGAGGACGAGGAGGGTACTATGCCCAACAGCGGATCTTGTGCATTTTGAACCAGATCCGCTGTCCACGCCGCCGCGGCCCGTGTCCATTCGAGACAGGAGGCCGCCCGCCCAACAGCGGCCGCTGTTGGTTTGGGACAACAGTGGTTGTTGGGCATGGTGCCCCTTCTTTCCGTGCCCATTTCGGGCGTCCAAATCGTGGGGGGCTTTCGGCAGTGAGGGCAGCTGCACCCAGGAGGCATCGTAAGGAGACGCACCGACTCTTTCATGGACTCCAGACTTCGCGTGAGAGAACGAAGAATCTGGGCATGGCCCTGGGCGTTTTCTGGGAGCTTCCTCTTCTTCGTGGAGTGGTCGTATACGTGGTCCTGAACTGCTGGTTAAGGAAACGCTTCGATAGAAGTCCATTTCTTCAGCCTATAAGCTTTTTAATCCTAAGCAGGAGTGTAGGGCGTGCCAGGATCGGCGGCGAGCCCGGGGGGAAGTGAGAAGGAGAAGGCTTTACCAGAAAGCTTGGAAGTCTCCCGGCCTTCGAGAAATTTTCTGAGCCCTTCCCGAAGACACCGAACCCTTCTCAGAAGGCAGGGGGCTTCTGACAAGCCCCCCCCGCCTTCTGAGAAGGCCTTCTCCTTCTCACTTCCCCCCGTCAGCGCGCCGCCGAATATCGGTCAGATTCGGCCCTCGGACCCCCCCCCCACTGGGGTCCATCCGACGCGGCTTTTCACCCATGGGTCGAGGTTCGCTTCTGGGGGCCGAAAACGGCCCCCAGAGGCCGAAAACAATGCAAAAACCGCCTCGAACCTCGAAGCTGGGACCTCGAAGTTCGAGCCTCGAGCCTCGAGCCTCGAGCCTCGAAGTTCGAGCCTCGAAGTTCCCCGCCCCCTCTCGCCGCCGGCAGGGCCCGCGTCGCCTGCGGCGCGGCTCGCCCTCGGCGGGAGGCCGGCGCCAGGCAGATCGGCGGCGGCGGCGTCGTTGTCTTCGGCGGCGGCGGCGGCGGCGGCGTCGCCTTCGGCGGCGGCGGCCGCGGCGGCGGCGGCGGCGTCGTCGTCGTCGTCGTCGTCTTCGGCGGCGGCGTCGTCATCATTGTCGTCGTCGTTGTCTTCGGCGGCGGCGTCGGCGGCGGCGGCGTCATCGTCGTTGTCGTCGTTGAACTTCGGCGGCGTCGTCGTCGTCGGCGGCGGCGTCGTCGTCGTCGGCGGCGGCGGTGTCGTCGTCGTCGTCGGCGGCGGCGGAGGGGGGGGGGGCCCTCATGTTTGGCCCTCCGCCCTGGAGTTCAGAGGAGGAAATTGCCCCTGCACCGCTGCCCTCCGCTCGTTTTCTCCTGTTCGGGCCTCCCGGGAGGCCTTCGTCGCCACCGTTGCATTCGCCTCGACATTCTCTGGTCGGAACGCAGCCCAGGAGAGGTCCTGGGAGTAGCGGCATCGACGCTCAGGGCATGCTAAACCTGCCCGTTTGGGCCTCCCCCCCTCGCGCGGTCCATCAACAAGGAACAGTAAGCAGCAAGAAGCAGAACTGTAACAGTGGAAACTGGAAGCTGCAACTGGTACAGGAAACTGTGAACCTTCGGCCTACAGCCTGGTGGCCCCACAAGGGGGCCTGCGAATTTATCATGCTTCGTGCCCCTCCCACTCCTCCAGGGAAGCCTCGCCTGAGCGAGGAGGGTTTTCGCAAACTATGTTATTTGTCAGGCTTCGTGCCCCTCCATCTCCTCCAGTGACGAACGTGCTTCTTGAACAGCCGTCGTCTTCCTCCCCGCTGTTCCCCCTCCTTGCTTTCGTCTGCCGTTTCTTTCGCACGTACCTTTGCGATGGCCTTTCCATTCATGTTGTTCTGATGTTGCCTCGTTGACCCCGCCCTCAACATCCTTATGTGGGGAACCCCGTTCGTATATATATATATATATATATATTGTTTCTCTCTCTCTCTCTCGTTTTCATTGGTTATTAGTGGATCTCTCTCGTCCTCTCTATTCTGTCCCTCTCTCTCTTTCTCTCTCTCGCTGTCTTTTGTCTTTCTCTCTCGCGTGCCCCTCGTGCACCCACCTTGGGATGAACAGGGCAGGCGTTACTCCGGCTACTCGGAGCAGCGAACGCGAAGCAGAGGAAGGCCTCGCGCTGGGGACCAGGGGAGGGAGAGTCTAGAAGGTGAGATTTGAGAGCTGGCTCCAACGGTTTCAGAGCCGCTTGCCCAAGGCGTCACCCGTCCAGGCGCTTGCTTGTTGTATCATCGGAACGGCCCCTGCAACGAGGGGACTCGGATGAGCGGTTCACGGAGTTTGCTGTGCACTCTGGGAGCGCCTGCTGCCGCCCCCAGCTCCCGCGAGCCCTGAGAGCGGTGCCGCCAGCAGCTCTGACTGGCCCGCCCTGAGTTTGCGAGTTCAGGAGGAGGAGGAGGAGGAGCAGGAGGAGGAGGAGGAGGAGGAGGAGGAGGAGGAGGAGGAGGAGGGGGGGTGAGGAGGGCGAGGAGGAGGAGGAGGAGAAGGAAGAGGAAGAGGGGGGGAGGAGGGCGAGGATGATGATGATGATGATGATGATGATGATGATGATGATGATGATGATGATGATGATGATGATGATGATGATGATGATGATGATGATGATGATGATGATGATGATGATGATGATGATGATGATGATGATGATGATGATGGTGGTGGTGGTGATGATGATGATCATGATGATGATGATGATGATGATGATGATGATGATGATGATGATGATGATGATGATGATGATGATGATGATGATGATGATGAGGAGGCAACCAGCCCTGACTGTCCAACCGGCCCTGGCTCTGGGAGCGCTGGGTGCGGACTGCCCGGAGCAGGTAGACGAGCCTGGGTAGCCCCAGGCTCCAGGAGCGCTGGGCGTCGCAACTGGCCCCGAGTATAGCTGCGCTGGCCCCGCTTGCGTAAAGCTCTTGCAGATTCCCGAGGGCACGCAATGTCATAAGCAAGCTTTCGGCCCGCGCGGTCCTCCGAAGGTTTGTGTTCATGCAGTCGCTTCATCTTCTTGGGATGATTGTCGCAGCTGGTCGTGTCGAGACCCACCTGCCCACAGCCCGAAGCTTGGGGAGCGCCAGCTTGCTGTCGCCAGCCCCGACCGGCCCCGAGTTCCAGGAGCGCTGGACGGCTCTCACAGCTCCAGGCTCGCACCGCCAGCCTCGCGAGCTGGGCATTCAGCCCCACTGCCGAGACCTCCTCTCAGCGTAAATTCAAGTCGGGCACGTCCCTCTACAGGAGGAAAATTCAACAATAGTAAAAAATAATATGGGGACGATTGTTTTTATTCCCTACCTAGGCTCTGCCTAGAAGGGTTCTTACCTGTATCTTAAAGGGGCCAGGCAGTGGGAACCGGCCCGGGCGGTTCCCCCGGCATCCGCCTCGCGGTTCCCCCAGTTACGTCCCCTTAGCTTAACGTTGCTTATCTCATCTTAGCTTAGCTTATTTCACCTTAGCTTAGCTTAGCTTCATCTCAGCTCATGCTTATCTTAGCTTAGCTGACCTTCATCTTAGCTTCTCTGAGCTTTAGCATAGCAGAGCACAGCATAGCATAGCATAGCGTAGCATAGCATAGCGCAGCACAGCAGATCATAACATAGCCCAGCACAGCATAGCATAGCGCAGCATAGCATAGCATAGCATAGCGCAGCACAGCACAGCACAGCATAGCACAGGACAAAACCAAGCAACAGCAACAACAACATCAAAGCAAAGGCAACAGCAAACGCAAAAGCAACAGCAAAGGCAAGGCAATGCAAAGCAAAAACAACACCAATGCGAAAGTGTAGATGTAGATGTAGGTGTAGGTGTATATGTATATGTAGATGTAGGTGTAGATGTAGGTGTAGATGTAGATGTAGATGTGAGTATCGCTGTTGATGTTGGTGTTGGTGTAGATGCAGGTGTAGATGTTGATGTAGCTGTCGGTGTAGATATGACTGTTGCTTTCCTAGATGCTCTAACTCCTAGCTATGGTCGCACTGGGATAATTCTTGGTCTTTCTCTATCCCCCCCCTTCGTTTTTTCTTAGTTTTGGATATTTGATCAATACCCAGGAATCCCCACATCCTATATGTTCTGGATATGGGGTTATCGTTTTCTTCCTCACACCCCGTGCAGGAACCAGAAAGAGAACACACCCTTTCCTCTTCTCCCATCGCACACTCACTCATTCAATCACTCACACACATTGCCACTCACATTCACTCACTCACCCAACAGATCCCCACATCCTAAGTGGGGTTATTATTTTGTTCCTCACACCCCGCGCAGGAACCAGAAAGAGAGCACACCCTTTCCTCTTCTCCCATCGCACACTCACTCATTCATTTACTCACACACATTGCCACTCACATTCACTCACTCATCCAACATATCCCCACATCCTAAGTGGGGTTATTGTTTTCTTCCTCACACCCCGTGCAGGAACCAGAAAGAGAACACACCCTTTCCTCTTCTCCCATCGCACACTCACTCATTCAATCACTCACACACATTGCCACTCACATTCACTCACTCACCCAACAGATCCCCACATCCCAAGTGGGGTTATTATTTTCTTCCTCACACCCCGTGCAGGAACCAGACAGAGAACACACCCTCTCCTCTTCTCCCATCGCACACTCACTCATTCAATTACCCCCACACATCGTCACTCACATTCACTCACTCACCCACTCACTCACCCACTCGCATACTCTCTCACAGATCACACACTCATCACTCACTCACTTACCCACTCACACACTCAATCACGCTCTCACTCACACACTCATCATCATCATCATCATCATCATCATCATCATCATCATCATCATCATCATCATCATCATCATCACCATCATCATCATCATCATCATCACGCACTTACGCACTCACCCACTCTCTCACCCACCTACCCACTCACTCACTCACTCACTCACTCACTCACTCATCATCATCAGCATCATCATCATTATCATCATCGTCATCATCACCACCATCATCATCATGATCATCATTATCTTCAATCGGAGTCGTTACGGAGTCATCGGCGGGTCATCAAAGTCCTGCAACTGTCGTCACTTTTGGGCTCCTGAGGATGAATATGGAGGAAGAGGCGGGCGCCTCGTGTGTGAGTGAATTACGAGGAAGCCTCAGGCGGGAGCCCCCTCCTTATTGGGCCCGCAGCTCATGTTTTTGATCCGAGGCGGGTCATCGGAACCCTGCAACTGTCGTCACTTTTGGGCCCCTGAGTTCTGAATATGGAGGAAGTCTCAGGCGGGAGCCTCGTCTGTGCTTGAATTGCGCGGAAGTCTCTGGCGGGAGCCCCCTCGTTATGGGGCCCGCAGCTCATGTTTTTTATCAGAGGCGTGTCATGAAAATTAGCAGCTGTCGTCAATTCTGGGTTCCTGTATCAGGCAAGAGCCTCGTCTGTGAGTGAATTGCGAGGAAGTCTTAGGCGGGAGCCCCCTCCCTATGGGGCCTGCAGCTAATGTTTTTAATCCGAGTCGGGCCATCTGAATCTTGTAACTGTCATCACTTTTGGGCTCCTGGGGCTTGAATAGGGGGGAAGTATCAGGCGGGAGCCTCGTTTGTGAGTGAGTTGCGAGGAAGTCTCAGGCGGGAGCTCCCTCCCTATGGGGCCCGCACCTCCCGTGCTTCTTCTGGGTCGTCCTCCGGGTCGTCCTCCGGCGCGCGCTTCCTCTGGGTCGTCCTCTGGCGCGTATCTCTTGGAACGCACGTCGTGCGTTTCCTCTGGGTCGTGTTCCGCACGAGGAGGAGGAGGAGGAGGAGGAGGAGGAGGAGGAGGAGGAGGAGGAGGAGGAGGAGGAGGAGGATTGGGAGGAGGAAGAGAGGAGGAGGAGGAGGAGGAAGAGAAGGAGGAGGCAGAGGGCGAGAAGGACGAGGAGGTCAAGGAGGAAGAGGAGTGCCGTGGGAGGCCCCAGGATGTCCTGGGAGGCCCAGAAGGCTCCAGGAGGTCCCAAGAGGTCCCAGGAGGAGGCAGGAGGCCTAAGGAGGAGGCAGGAGGATGAGGAAGAGGGAGAGGAGGAGGGGGAGGAAAATGGAGACGAGGAGGAGCAGGCGGAGGAGGGAGAGAGAGAGGAGGAGGCGGGAGAGTGGAAGAGGAAGAGGAGGAGGAGGAGGAGGAGGAGGAGGAGGAGGAGGAGGAGGAAGACGAGGAGGAGCAGGAGGAGGAGGAGGAGGAGGAGGAGGAGGAGCAGACAGGAGGAGAAGGATGAGGCAGGAGTAGGCGGGAGAAGGGAGGGGGCAGGAGGAGATCCCCAGGTAAGCTAAACAGATGTTCATGTGGGGTCCTATCGTCGTAGTATTTGTTAGGTTCCGTCCAAAATCCGCCAGTAGGAGGACATGCCCGACCGAATCGTAAAGAGTAGCGACGGATTGTGTTTGACAGTTTTCGGCTTCCCAGGGCTGTCACCACGCAGCAGGAACGTTCAAACACAGCTACGGTGGAAACTGGTCCTCGAAGGATGAGTGTCGGGAGTGCGCATTGCGATAAAAACGCTACGTCGGATATCTAGGCTGGCCCCGCACTTGGGTACCAGGAGCGTTGGTTGCTGCTACCAGCCATGACTAGCCAAAGTGACCTCGTCCCCACTAGGTTCACCGCATCTATCTCGAAGTCCGGGGAGCGCTGGTTGCCGCTGCAAGCCGTGTCGAGCACAATTGGCTCTTCCAGCGCTACCTTCGGGGAGCACTGGTTGTCCCCACTGTCCCCGACTAGCCCTGTTATCCCTCACTTCACGGCGCGCCTGCTGGCAGCTAGCACCGTTGGCCATGCACGCCCCATCTCCTTCAGAGCTTCCTGCTGTCGCTGGGAGCCCGCGACGTCCGTAGCAGCCCCGTGAGCAGAGGGCTCTGGGAGAGCTGGCCGAGGCCACTGCCCGCGGCGCTGCTCGCCGCCACGAGCTCAGAGCCCAGACCAGCCGCACCCGCCCCAGAAGCCCAGAGTTCTGAAAGCGTGGCTTTGCCACGGTCCGAGGCGGGAATTTATACACGACCACCGCCTGGAGGGTCAGTTTTTGAAGCCTCAGCAGGCAGTGGATCTGGAAACATTCGGGCCCCTGAGGGCCGAAACATACCCATATCCACCGCCCGCTGGGGC